GCGTGACGCCGTTGTCCTTGGCTTGGCTCACCGCCGCGCCAGCCTCGAGGAGCAGCTGCACGCACTCGAGCTGGCCCTGCTGGCACGCGATGAACAGCGGCGTGACGCCATTCTGCGTGGCTTGGTCGGCCGCCGCGCTGGCTTCGAGGAGCAGCCGGACGATCTCGAGGTGGCCCTTCTGGCACGCGATGTACAGCGGCGTGGCGCCGTTCTGCGGGGCTTGGTTGACCGCCGCGCCAGCGTCGCACAGCAGCCGGGCGACCTCGAGGTGGCCCTTGTAGCACGCGATGATCAGCGGCGTGGCGCTGCCGTCCTTGGCTTGGTTGACCGCCGCGCTCGCCTCGAGAAGCAGCCGGACGCACTGGTCATGGCCCTTCAGGAACGCGACGAACAGCGGCGTGACGCCTCTGGCGTCTGCTTGGTCGGTCGCTGCGCCAGCCTCGACGAGCAGCCGGGCGCACTCAATCTGCCCCTCCTGGCACGCGGTATACAGCGCGGAAGCGCCGTCATCATTCGTCGCCCCCACGCTCGCGCCGCTGTCGAGCAGCAGCCGCACCGCCTCGGCCTGCCCGTGACGAGCGGCCCAGGTGAGCAGCGTGTCCTGCCTCTCGGTGTCGTGCCGCGCGTCGAGCTGGGCCGCGAGCGACGTGCCGCGCGTCCGCCGCCCGGAGAGGAAGGCGCGCAGCGAGGCCAGGTCGCCCCGAGCCAGGTCGGCGAGGCGGGCTGGGAGGATGGCGCCGCTCATGCTTGTGTCTATTCATGCTTCATGACACGACACGCGGCGGTGGTGGAGCTGGTGGAGCTGTCAGCTGTTTGATCCAAGCGGGTGGGGAGTGGGGGGCATGGCTGGGCATGCAGGTCCGCCAGAGCAGTCGGCCCGGCCTCTGACGTGGTGCTGCCGCTGCATTCGCTGAAGAAGAGAGGTGCGACTTGATTGGAGGCACTCACTGGAGGCGAGGCGAAGGGAGGTTGGGCCGGGCCGTGAGGGGCTGATGGCGCTGGCCAGCGCGGGGTGTGAGATGTCGTCGTCGTCGTATACTGCTGGCCGCCAGCGGCACGCCGGTACGCCTACGAGTCGTGCGCGCTCGGCAGTAATCGGCGTTGAGACTGACTGCCTAGAGCGCGCACATCGAGAGCGCCGAGTTGTGTTGCCGCGAGGAATCCTGCTCGAACATGGGGTCCGAGCGGCGCCTGATCGCATGGGATGGATCAGTGGGGCTATCACGTGGGTACGGCCTGCTCAGTCAGGAGTTGGCGAGTGTGTGGGAGATTCACGCCCGTCGCTCAACGTCTGTTGAAAAACTGTTCGCTGAGCAAGCTCACGGTCGAGCGGGCTTGACGCGCGCTTCAGGATAGCAAGAGGCGTGCCCACTCCCCTGAGGAGCGTGCGGGCACGCCTGGGAATCGTTGTGGAGCGACCATGGACTGGGATGACAGCCGGCGAAGCGCTGCGCCAAAACCATGGCGCCGAAAAGCGTCCGCCCTCGACGTGCTGGAAGCTTCACGGCGGAGGCTGTGAAGTCGCGGCATCGAGTTCAACCTGAGCACACGCACGCACCGTGCTGGGGAGGAGTTGGCCTGCGAGCGGCGAGCGCTCCCGAGCGCGCGGCGCCCCGTTCTGGCCATCTTGCGCTTTACCACCACAAAATCGCCTCCATTTTGCGCGCCTCCGGTGGCAGGTCTAGCCGGGCCCGATTGATGATACTTTTTATGGTTGCGCGCCGGATCTCGACTCCACCGTGCTACGGTGCGTCCCAAAGCAAAACTTGTGGCAGAGGGGCCAGATTGGCCGATTTATAGAGGGATGCCTAGGCGTGAATTCACCGCCCTAGAAATAAATTTAAAACGCGTTTATTGCCTGTTTAGCGCCGATCTTACAGCTTATTCGAATGTCTTCTTACGTTGCTTCAGCCGTCATTTCCCCTCCTTTCACCCGCTCTTCCCCCGCCTTTCAGCCGCCATTCAAGCAACGTTGAACCGCGTTTCACAAACATGTTTTCCGCTCTTCGTCAACACGGTTTGCCTTGAAGTTACCGCACCGACGCTAAATTCAAGCCCCTTCAAGCCAATTTATGGATTATGGGCAGGTGGGCAGGAACACTGCTGCTGCTGCTAAGCACCCGCACCGCCCAGTGAGTAGTGTCGCGGGCTAGGATAAGGACCATGATCTGGCTTCCACAGATCCCAATTGAATTCGACCGCGCAAAGCTGTCCCCCCCCCCCCGCAAACTTTAAACCACCATAAACATCATTGTGCAGGGGCTCCAGGCCCCAAATGACGTGTGAGTGTTAGAGTTGTTTGGTATTGCTAAAAATCTCTCTCTCGAAAAGCCTTCACACTCCAAAAAAAAGTAATATATCTTTACTTCCAACACCCGGACGTTCCCAGGGTGATGGAAGGTTCGACGCACCCCCGGACTGGGAAGAGAAATCCCAGGGGTACGCTCCTGGGCACTCCGCCCCCCGCCCCCTGACTGCACAGGATAGCGTTATGGTGGTGATTGGGGTTGCACATGCACAACATGCGCATGCACATGTGCACACCCGATGTGCATGTCAGCATGAAGTTGTGCGCGCGTGTGCATGCGCGCTGTGCCGCGTACGCCTGAGAGCGCTCATGTCTCTCAATCCACAAAGAGTCAAGAGACCGCATTCGCTGGCAGCGGAGGACGCCGGCGCCGACCGCAAAGCTCTTCACACAGCCGGGGAGAGAGAATAAATCGGTAATCGCACACAAACCTCAAACGCGACAAAGCACAAACGTGCGCTTGCAGTCGACAGTCGAGAGTCGTGCGTCGACCGTCGTGTTGTGTGGATTTAGACTCTTCTCTCTTGAGTCTTGTGGGCTGCGCACTAACAAAGGCGCCTCTGCGTGGGGCAGAGAGCCTGCCGCGCCCCCTGGCCCTGCACGTACTGGCAGAGCCCGCAGGGCTCAAGTCTCGGCAACAAAGTACAACAAATGTACATGCACTACACCTCGACACATCCAGGACCGCCCGCCTCTCTCAGGGCTCGGCCACGACTCTCTTCTCGTACCACTCCGCGTCGAGCCAACGCGGCGCAGGCAGCCCCAGCTCAGCCTGCAGCACCTTCTCGGCCATCGCCAGGCTGCCCGCCGCCCACCCCGTCTCGTACCCAAAGTCCTGGTTCGCGAGGAAGAGGTCGTAATCTGGCAGCGGCTTGCGAAGCAGCGCGCGGTCGAGATCGCCGCCCAGCAAGCGGCCGATGCCCGGCGTGTAGCGCCCTGCCGAGATCCAGTTGGCCAGCACCACCGTCTGCGGCGGGGAGACGGCGCCGGGGGCGACGCCCGCGGATGCGAGCGCCTTTGCGTGTCGAGCCATCAGTGCGGCGTGCACGTCCCCGATCAGCTGCGCGGCGGCGAGGCTGCTCGTACCGCGCGTCGCGACGGTCAGCGGCTGAAGAGGGCTCGGCATCAGCTTGGCATAGTACGGCCGGGCGATCCCATAGTACACCTCGAGCGCCCCGCTGCAGTTGCCGTACGCTATCTTCTTGCCCGAGTAGACGGGGTCGCCCGCCGTGTCGCGCCCGACTACGCAGCGCTGCGGGCCGTCGTGGTAGCGCCCCTCGAGCGGAGCGCCGTCGGTGGCGGCGGTGAAGGCGCCCTCCATCAGCCCCAGCTTGGTGCTCCACCACGCGTCGTCGTACCACGCGTAGACCTTGACCATCGGGATGGTCGTCACGGCGCCGAGCAAGCGCCGCACGGCGGCCGAGGAGCTTCCCAGCAGCGTCGAGTCGCGTGAGAGGTACTCGATGGCGTTGGAGGGCAGGTTGAGCAGGACCTTGCTCGCTGTGACGCTGCGCCCGCCCGCAAAGATGAGCCGGCTCGCCGCCCTGCCTGCAGCCGGCGCCGCCTCGATGGAGGTCAGCCTCGCCGCGAGGTGGACCTGCCGCCCCGGTCCGCCCGCCGCCTCGACCTGGCCGAGCATCGTCTCGATGGCGGTGGCGTAGCCGGCGTTGTTGCCGAACGCGTCCTTGACGACGTAGCAAGTCGTGCCCTCGCACTTTGCGGCGCACTCCCAGTCATAGCACTGCGTCGGCAGCTTGAGAGCGAAAAAAACGAGGTCCGCGGGCAGTCGCTGCCTCGTCTGGAAGCGGTAGCCGCCGACATCCACAGCGAGGTCTGCAAAGGAGGGGAGGCCGTGGACCGAGAAGATGCGCCCTCCGACGCGGCCGTTTGCCTCGAAGACACACACAGACGAGGCGTTTACAGACGAGGTGTCGACGGCGAGTCGCCAGGCGGCATACGCGCCGGACCAGCCGGCGCCCACTACCGCAAACGAGCAGTGCTTAGGCAGGTCGGCGTCGGCAGCGGAGAGGGCGGCGTCGGCGGCAGCCACGCCGAGATCGGGACGCCAGCGGGCGCTAAAGGTGCCTCCTAAAGCGAGTTTGTCGGCAGCAGCGAGCATATACACACGTACCCGGTATGTATGTGGAGGCCTACTCCTGGAGGGCGGCCGGGCGGAGGGTACATACGCGCATTTCTTCTCTGGGTGTGCCTGTGATAGTACTAGCACGCGCCAGTTCGCACCTGTGTCGAGCCTGTCTGCTGTGATTGTTTTCTTTCTTCTCTGCACTACTCGAGTATAGCCCTTGAGAAAAAGCTCGGATTATGCAAACCTGTGCCTGTGTCATCCTAGGAAGTAGACTGGGAGGGGTACTTAGGTACTTTGGCCTGCATATACTTTTCCGGCAAACAAAAAGGAAAACAGAGGGTCCCCAGCACTTTGCGTTTCCGGAAATTTCCAGGGAAAACAGAGGGTGTTTGGTGCTCCATTCTGGAAACTCGCGAGTTTCCCTGAGCCCCTTCCCCTCACGGTGGGCCCAGCCCGCTCACCCTCCTTCCTCCCGCTCGAGCGTGTCCCCGCTCCCCCCCTGCTGCGCACATCAAGCTGACTGAGCACGTGCGGCCTGCCCCCTTGATCAGATAGGCGGAGAGAGCTGAGCACGCGTGGGCTCGCCTTCCGGCAGGTAAGTACGCGATGATCGATCCCAAGGGGACCCCCTGGTGGAAGGTCCTCCTCGCCGGCGCAGCCGTCGTTGGCACGTCCGTTGCGACGGGAGCCGTGATGATGGTGGCGATCGCGGGCAAGCCGGCGTTCCTCGAGGTGCACTCCGCCCCCCTCCCCCACGGCGCGTGCCCATGCTCCGTGCTACTTTCGCGTCCGCTCGAGCGGGGGACGTGCTGCTGCAGCGACACTAGCACTCAATTCGCCACTAGCACTCAGTGCGTCGAGCTGACAGCTGATTGGGGGCGTGGAGACTGGAGTGTCCGCCCGAGCACCTCGTCCTGCTCTGAACCCTCTGAGATGCCTTCCTGGCCGAGAGAGACCCTGCGGCCGCAGAGGCTGGCCGAGCTCACGGTCCTCACGTCCTTCTTGAAAAAAAAAGCCCCTGCGTTTTGTAGGCGTACCTGCCGGCCGAGGAGAAGGCGGCCTCGCAGGCCGAGCTTTGCGAGAGGCGCTCCGAGGACGTCCGCAGTGGTTGGATGGAGGAGCATGGGAAGACTTGCGCGGACATGGCCAAAAATACCAAATGGGCCAAGACGTGTGTGCAGAAAGAGGGAACATTCTTCAAGCAGCTGTACTGCGCGCAAAGTTGCCTGGACGTGCACCGCAAGAATTACTCGGATATCTTAAAGGACTTGTGCGATCTTACGGGTGAAGAGGATGGCGGCGGCATGACTGTCGATGGCGAGGGCGAGACGCTTTCTGCGAACAACGCACGGATCGGGATCCGTGTGCGATGTACAAAAACCGACTACGACTACGACGACGGCACTGGCTCCCACACCGGGCTCGGCACGGTGCTGGGCTGGAAGCACAACGGCGAACGGACCGGCGACACACCGGGAAGCCGCTGGGAATCAGATTGGTCCAACGACCAATGCCATGTTGACTTTGAAAACGGCGGTGGCTGGAACCTCCCCATGAGCCTTTGCACGATCGTGGCGTGACCTCACCGTCACGCACCATCAAGCGAGTCAGCCCACGTCTCTGCCATTGTTGAACGACAACGAGATGAGAGCTGTGATCCGTGCGTGAACACTAATCGTGCGTGAGGATGGGCGGGTACTCGGATGAGGAGTATCTGATTGTGGCAGTCTAGCGTGCGTGCAGCGGTGGCTCGGAGCGTCAGCGCTCTGGGCCACGGCCTAGCGCCGCGTACGTCGGCGGCGAGCCGCGTCGCCAGCCGTCTCGCGAGAGAGCGGCGCCGCTGCGTGCGCGCAGCAGCCGCCGCGGCAGAGACGAGCCGCGGCGACGGCCGCACAACCGATAACTGCCATTGGCGGTTTCACACACACACACACACACTCAGTATCTTGAACCACTTTGTTATCTTATTACCACTGCTGTATCTTTACTTGCGACACAGATATGTCTTGGTCCACATGACACCGACCCTGGACGCGGCCTCCATTCTCTCCATTCAGTCCGAGTGCTTTGCTGAGGACGTGCCGCTGCCCGAGAGCGGCTGCGCCGGCTGGACAGAGTCGGAGTTGCGCGCCTACTTTGAGTCTGGCGGCGAAGACGTCCCGCCGCCCCGCCATGCCTCACCCCCTGTGGAGCCTAGTGGCGAGGTCCACTCCTACAGCATCGGCGGAGTCACTGTTGAAGTTGGTTCTCCCTGTGCGCCCGAGCTTGTGCCGTGGCTGCCGCCGGGCCTCCGCAGCAGCCTTGGCTCGTCGCAAGAGGCGCTCGCGACGATGCGGTGGATGATGGTGCAGCTCAAGCTCGGTCAGGACATGCTGCTGCTGGGCGAGCCGGGTGGCGGGCTGCGCTCGCTCGCTCTCTGGGTGTGCGCCACTCTGCGGCGGGAGGTAGAGTACGTCGGCGTCACCCGCGACACCTGCGAGGCGGACTTGAAGCAGCGGCGCGAGCTGCGCGGCGGCTCGATGCTGTACGCGGACGCGCCGCCGCTGCGCGCCGCCTGCCACGGCCGCGTCCTCCTCCTCGAGGGCATCGAGAAGGCGGAGCGCAACGTGCTGCCTCTGCTCAACAACCTACTCGAGAACCGGGAGATGGCGCTCGACGACGGCGGCTTCCTCGCGGCGCCAGCGATGTCCAGCGAGGAGGAGGAGGGTGGCGCGCGGGGACGCGGCCTGCGCTTCGCCAAGCGCGGCTTCGTCGTCATCGGCATCGGTTTACCTCAGCCGACCTACGCCGGAACTCCGCTCGACCCGCCTCTGCGCTCCCGGTTCGCGACGCGACGGGTGCGGTTCGTGGCGGGCTCGGAGCTGCTCAGCCGCGTCGTCGCGGCCGCGCCGCGGCTCAGCCCCGCACGCGCGAGGCAGGTCTGCGCCGCCGCCGACGCGTTGCGCCTGCGCTCGGCGGCGGCGAGCGGCGCGCCCTACGAGGCGGCAGGCGGCAGGCGGCTGGCATACTTCCCCGAGGGCGGCGCAGAGCGCGCCGCCGCCTTGCTCGAGGCGTTCGACGGGGCGGACGCCGCCGCCGCGGTGGAGCGGCGCCTACCCCTCGCCGCGTTGCACCTTCCTCCCGACACGCTGAAGGGCGTGCGGCGCGAGGACCTTAAGCGCCCGCTGCCGCCCGCCTCGCCCTTTGCAAGCCCCTCACCCAAGCCCAGCGCGAAAAAGTAGGTCGAGAGCTTGCTGCCGCCGCCGTGCACGCCGCTGCGCTACGCCCTCTCGCGCATCGAGCGGCGCGGGGAGGGGGCGAGCCGGTGCGAGTGCGTCTTTGCCGTCCTCGCGGAGGGCGCGAGCGTGCGGCTCGAGGCGGCTTGCGGCTGCAAGCCCCTCTGGAGCCCGGCCTTGTCCGCCTCGCAAAACGCAGGCGGAGGAGGAGGCGGCGGTGGAGGCGGCAGCGGAGGCGGCGGCGGCACGTCTCCCGACGAGATCGTGGCGATGAGCGGCGGGCAGCTCAAGGCGCTGCTCGCCGCGCGAGGCGTGGCGCACGCGCACGTGCTCGAGAAGGCGGAGTTGCGCCAGCTCGCGATCGAGGCGACGCGCGGAGGCGGAGGCGGAGGTGGAGGTGGAGGCGGAGGCGGCGGCGGCGGCGGCGGCGGCGTACCACAGCAGGAGGGCGACTGCGCGTGGCACGGCGCGGGCCCGCCGCTGGTTGCGTCGCAGGCGGCCGCGCTGGACAGCATCTGCGCCGAGCGCGCGCGCTTGGGCGACGCGGCGGACACGTCCACGACATGTCGATGACACCTCCTGGACATGCCCCACAGGCATGCGCTCGGGCACGACGTCTGCTTGCTCGCGCCGAAGGGCGTCGGCAAGACGTCCCTCGCCCGCCGCTTCGCGCAGCTGTTTGGGTACGGGGAGGCGTATTCTGTCTTTTGCCACGCCGACTTGCCCGCACACGAGCTGCTGCAGCGGCGCGCAACCACGCCCGACGGGGCGACAGAGTGGCGTGACTCGCCGCTGCTGCTCGCTGCGCGGCGGGGGGGCGTCGCCCTCCTCGACGGCATCCACCGCCTCCCGCGCGGCACGTTCGCCGGAGCCGTTCGCACGCTTAGCATGCGGAACACACATGTCCGCCATCGCACGCCCCAGGTGCTGTAGCCCCAGTTGCTGCATTCGCAGCCCCCGTGCTGGCGCGGATGACCCCGCACGATACCATATTCTCTTTCCCTCGGCCGCTTGTGCCCATACTCCCTCGGCGCCGATATGCTCATACTCCCTCGGCCGCTTGCGTTCGTCTTCCCAGGTCGGACCGCTTTGCGTCGAGCGGAGCCTCCTCTCGCTGCCGGACGGCTCGCGGCTCGTCTCGGCAGCGCAGTGGGAGGCGCTCCTCGCGGCGGGCCTCACGGAGGGCGAGCTCGCAGCGAAGGGCGTCCAGCGCGTCCACCCCGCCTTCCGCATCGTCGCGACCGCAGAGCCGCCCGCCGGCGAGGGCGAGGGCGAGGCCGCCGCCGCCGCCGCCGGCTGGCTGAGCGACGAGTTGCTTCCGCTCTTTGCTTGGGTGAGCTTGTCGCCGCCCGAGGAGGCGGAGCTGCTGCAGATGCTGCAGATGCACACCTGCCCGCCCAAGGCGCTGCCGCCGCTGCGCGCTCTCCTCCGCTACCGCGCCGCAGTGCTCTCCGCTTCGTCGGCCGAGCCGTCGCTTCGAGGGGCTCTGCTCTCGCAGCGGCAGCTGTTGCGCGCCGCGCAGTACCTTCGCCGACGGCCCGACGACGCGGCGGGCGCTCTCCGGCGGAGCACCGCGGCGGGGCTGCTCACGGCACCGCCCGCGGCGCGCGAGACGGCGGCGGCGCTGCTTGCACGTGCGGCGGCCGAGGCGGGTGTGAGGGCTGCCGACGTGCCTTCGACCTCTGGGCTGGACGGGGAGGCGAGGCCGCGCGGCGGCGAGGCGGGCGCGGGAGGCGCGCGGGTCGCGGCGGCGGAGAGGTCGCGGCGCGAGGCGCAGGCGCGCGAAGTCAAGGAGCTCGAGGGGCTCTCGATCCAGAGGAGAATGATGGGCAACTTTGGGGGGATGGGCGCGGCGCTGGACGCAAAGATAGAGGACGGCGCCAAGCGGCTGGCGGCGCAGCGCAAGGAGACTGCCGACGCGAGGGTGCGCCAGGTGTGCGAGCGCGCAGCGGCGCTGGCGGTCGGTGACGGCCGCGGAGACGGACCCGCCGACGACGGACCCGCGATCGTCGTGCGGGGCGGGCGCGTGAGCATCGGCAGCGTAAGCGTGGCGCAGTACCCGGCGCCGGAGGAGCCGTCGCTGGTGCCTCGCCCCTCCTTTGTCGCCATCGCGGGCCACGTGGCGCTGCTCGAGGAGATGCTGCTCGAGTGGGAGGGCGGCGGCCATCTGCTGCTGCTCGGGGACCAGGGTGTCGGCAAGAACAAGCTCGCCGACCGGCTGCTGCAGCTACTCGGCGCAGAGCGGGAATACGTCCAACTGCACCGAGACACGACCGTCGCTTCTCTCACGCTCGCGCCGAGCCTCGAGGGCGGCGTTCTCGCCTTCCGCGACTCGCCGCTCGTGCGCGCGGCGCGGCGCGGGCGCGTGCTCGTCGTCGACGAGGCGGACAAGGCGCCGCTCGAGGTGGTTTGCGTGCTCAAGGCGCTCGCCGAGGACGGCGACCTGCAGCTCGCCGACGGAAGGCGGCTGGTGCGCCGCGCCGCGAGGGCGGGTGGCGGCGAGGGCGGCGGCGAGGGCGGCGGCGAGGGCGGCGGCGAGGGGGAGCAGGAGCTCGTGGTGTCGCCCGCCTTCCGTATGGTGGTGCTGGCAAACCCGCCGGGCTGGCCCTTCCAGGGGAACGATTTTTACCGCGAGTGCGGCGACGCCTTCAGCTCGCTGGTGGTGCCGAACCCGGACGCGGCGTCGCAGGCGCAGCTGCTCCGGCGGGTGGCGCCCGGGCTGCCGCGCGAGCAGCTCGCGACCCTGCTTTCCCTCTTCGCGCGGCTACGGCTACTGCACGAGCAGGGCGCGCTCTCGTACCCGTACTCGGTGCGCGAGCTCGTCCTCGTGGCGCGCCACCTCGACGCGTGCCCGCAGGACGGGCTGCACGGCGCGCTCGCCGGGGTGTTTGACGCCGACGCGGACGACCGCTCCGCGGCGTCGCTGCTCGCCGGCGTGCTCGCGGAGCATGGTCTGCAGAGCCTCGCGCTCGAGCTGCGGCGGAGCAAGAAGAAGGCGCCGCCGATGGAGCTGCGCCTCGAGGGCGAGTCGGACGAGTTTGGCGGCCGCGCGGAGAAGCCGCCGCCGCCGATGCCCGAGGGCGGGCCAAAGCACGGCGAGTGGGACGGCAAGCCGCACGTGGGCGGGAACAAGTACGCGGGCGGGACGGGCAGGACGGGCACCGCGGGGTTGGGCGGCCGCGCCGGGCCGTACCGCCTCGACGTTGGGCAGCAGGTGCACCTGCTGAGCGAGGAGGAGAAGGCGGCGGGGATCAGCGACGAGGCGGCCGAGGCGGCGAAGCGCATGGCGGACGAGGCGTACGCGGAGCGGCTCAGGGAGATTGGGATGGCGCCGCACGACGCCGAGCTGTACGACGCGTACCGTGCCGGCGTCGAGCCTCAGGTGGCGAGGATGCGGCGCGCGCTGCACGAGCACCGCGAGCGGTCCAAGGAGCGGATCTGGCTCAAGGGCCGCCCGCACGGCGAGCTCGACGAGGCGAGGATGGTGGACGGGCTTGCCGGCTCGGCCGCCATCTACAAGCACCGCGGCCCGAGGCCGGCGGGGAGCGCGGGCGGCGCGGGCAAGCGGGTGGCGCTGCGGTTCGTGCTCGACCTGAGCGGCTCGATGTACACCTTTGAGCGGCTCGACGGGCGGAAGACGCGCCTGCTCGAGACGGCGCTCTTCGCGATGCTCGCGCTCGAGGGCCTCGAGGCGACGTACGAGTGGTCGATGGTCGGCCACTCGGGCACTGGACCCGAGGCGGAGCAGCTGGTCCGGTGGGGCGAGTACCCGCAGGGCGAGGCGGCGCGGCTCGCGCTGCTCAAGAAGATGGAGGCGCACACGCAGTACTGCCACAGTGGCGACCAGACCTTCGAGGCGACGCGGCGGGCGGTGGCGGCGACCGCCGGGCGCGACGCTGACGAACGGTTCGTCTTTGTAATCTCGGACGCCGACCTCGCCCGCTACCGGCTCGACCCGCGCGAGTGGAGTGCGGCGCTCACCGCGGAGGAGGCGGTTGGCGCGTACGCAATCCTGATCGCCTCCAACGAGATGGAGGCCGAGCAGATCCACGCGCAGCTCGCGCCGGGACGAGGCCACGTCTGCACCGACACCGGGCAGCTGGCAGCCACCTTTGAGAAAATATTCTCGGCCTCGCTCTGATTAGTGATTTTTTGTATGCAATTGTTCGATGTGATTTGATTTGCACATAAGGGCAAAATGCAGATCAGAGCCAGAGGAGAGAAAAGAGGCACGAGCGGCGGAGGGGGCGGAGCGCGGGGCACCCCCCAAATTCTCGCCACCACGCACCACTCGTGCGCGGGTAGCATTCCAAGCAAACAGAGCATGGAGCTTGGAGGCGCGCGCACGCGTGTGCGCACGAGCTTCTTGTGGACGGTCTATCAGAGCTTAAACACAGAGCACGGAGGCGCACGCGCGCACGAGCTAATGGACGTGGCATATAGTCAAGTGGCGGTCGACGGGACGGCCAGAGCACACAGAGCTCATGGTCCATGGAGGCGCACGCGCGCACGAGCTAATGGACCTGGCATAGTGGCGGTCGACGGGACGGCCAGAGCACACAGAGCATGGAGGCGCACGCCGCGCTCCGCACGAGGAAACACCGCAGCTCGACGAGTCGCTGTCGTCGCAGCACTCCCTGCCCTCGCCATTGTCGATCCGCGCCCACGGCGGCTTTTCGGCTTGGAGTGACAGTGACGCACAAGGGCCAGAAGGGTCACTCTCATATTCAAATTCGCTTTTTTCGCGAGCGCCCCCGCGAGGTGACATGAACGTGTCTGAATGACATGAACGCGTACCTGCCTGGATGTTCGGTCTGGGAGGGGGGGGAGCTCTAGAGAGAGAGAGAGAGAGAGAGAGAGAGAGAGAGAGAGAGAGAGAGAGAGAGAGAGAGAGAGAGAGAGAGAGAGAGAGAGAGATGCCGTGCAAAGCTCGCTTCCGAGCTCTCACGCCGCGCGTCAGGGCCCTTAGATACTCGAGTACAAGCAAGGAGGGGATGCATTGTGCAATCCCAATCGGTACCGTCCCCTTGAGCACTTGAGCACTGGATGGATAGGGTCGATTCCGCATGGTACGGGACCCCTCGATCGTCTCGCCCTCCCTCGCTGGCACCGTCCCCTAGTGTTGTTTTGTTTGTTGCCGAACCCTTTGGGTGAGGCTCAGGGCCCACCTTCTCGACCCACCTCTTCAGAGTGCTTTTTCCTTTTTTTGAAGGGCTACCGGCGCCAGTGGGGGCTGGGGGGGGGGGGGGGTCCTTTCTCTGTGAATGCTTGTTTTGTACGAAAGCGACCCTGCGGGCGCGCGACAGCCTGCAGACGATCCACGCCAGCACCGGCCTCCCGAGGGCCGCAATGTTGAATCTCGCGCTGGGCGTGACCCACGTCTCCTGCCAACCTGCGTAAGAGACGCCCTCTCTCCTTCTGCGCACGCGGCAGTGATTTCATTCCGCCAACGCAGCGGTCGAGCCAGCGGCGGTGGGATCAGCGACGGTAGCCGCCGCTGCTGCCGCCGCCGTAGCGGCCGCCGTAGCCTCCGCCTCCGCCTCCGCCCACATTCGGACAGTTCGATGCCCAGTGCCCGTCCAGGCCACACTTGAAGCAGCCGCCCTTCTTGCCGCCGCCACCGCCAAAGCCGCCGCTGTTGTACCCGCCACCTCCGCCACCTCCACCGGCGGCGTTGGGGCAGTTGCGAGCCCAGTGGCCGGTCTGGTTGCACTTGTAGCAGAGGTCGGTGGAAGAGCCGCCGCCGCCAACACCGCCGTACTTGTTGTTCTGGGCGCCGCCGCCGCTGTAGCCGCCGCCGCCGCCGCTGTAGCCGCCGCCGGTGTAGCCGCCGCCGCCGCTGTGGCTGCCGCCGCCGCTGTCGTAGCCGCCGCCGCCGCCAAAGCCGCCGCTGTTGTACCCGCCACCTCCGCCACCTCCGCCGGTGGCGTTGGGGCAGTTGCGAGCCCAGTGGCCGGTCTGGTTGCACTTGTAGCAGAGGTCGGTGGAAGAGCCGCCGCCGCCGCCGCCACCACCACCGTAGCTCCCCGCGCCGCCACTGCCACCGTACCCGCCGCCGCCGCTGCCGCTCCCGGGCGTGCCACCGCCGCCGCCGAACCCGCCGCCGCGGTTCGGCGGCGGCGGTTGCGAGTCGACCCACTGGAAGAAGCTGCAGTCCTCGCCGCGAGGCTTGGGGCAGCGGTAGAAGCGGCGGTTCGGGTTCCTCTCACTGTACGACGTGAGCACCTTGGCCGGGCCGGCGCCGCACGGGCAATCGATCGCCGGCTCGGCTGGCGGCTCGGGCTCGGGCACCAAGGACGCATCGTCGGTGAGATCGATGATTTGATCGCCACCGGGCAGGGCGCCACCGGGCAGGGCTCCGCCGCCCTCAAGCCGGCGCAGCTCGGCCTCCTCCGAGAGGTCCACGTCGGCGGTGGTGCGAGAGTAGACGGGCGCTTGCCACGGGCGCGGAGCTGGCTGCGGGCGCGCTGCTGCTGCGGCAGGTGGGCGCTGCTTCTTGGACGGCGGGCCGTCGAGCAGCTCATCGAGAGCAGCCTCTTCCTCGGAGTCGATGCCGTCGTTGGCGGGCTCCCAGTCCTCCCGCCGGAAGTCCATCGCCCCTGAGCGCACAACAACGGCCACTGCGCCGGGAGTTTTCTTTGTGTGTGCGGAGGCAACTCTTCTTCACATAAACGCACAACTCCGGACCCAAGACGCACAAGCACAGACAGTCGTTCTTCACCTTTCTACCAACCTAACCAAGGAGGCAAGTTGTAAGAAGCCTTGTGGCAACACTTGTGGCGGTCCATAGCTCACTTGTGGGTTCGATCTATAGTGGGAGGTAGGGAGGATCTCCCACCGTTTAAAGAAGGGTTTTCTTCTTTTCATGAGCGATCGCGACCGCGAGGTGGTGGGGGAGGCGGCGCGGGAGCGGATCCGCCCGGTGGAGGAGGCGGGGAAGATGCTGGAATGGGACTGGGGGAGTGAGCGGCTCGCGGTTGCCGAGTCGTGCCTGCCATCCCGTGTCGCGGAAGCGAGGCCGCTAGTGGCACAGGAGCTCTGGGTGGTGGGGTGGGAGTGTGTGGGTGCCCGCGCCGCCTAGCTCTGCGGACGGGCCCCTCCACCCCTCACGTACGGGTCATGTAGTCCCCACAATCGCTGTCGTGGGATCGCTTGTCATGTGAGAGCGAGTGGTTGTGACCTTGTTTTGTGTCCGCTTTCTCTTTTCTGCTGACGGCGAATCCGACGGCGGCTTCTGTGAGGACGACGGACGGCCTTCTATGAGAAGCCGTTCGTCCGCGCTTTGCCTGTTGTGTGAATCGTATATAGTCCCTGCTAGAGCGCCGCAAGAGCGTTGTATATCAGCAACGAGCATGTAAGTAGCCTGACCCTGATCCCTGTCCGCGTCGGCTATGTCCCCGCGTCTTTCCTCACCTGCCTATAGCCTCCTGCCACCCTGTGGCGCCCCCCTGGCCGCGTCGAGGTATACTACGCTAGCCCGCCGCGTCCACGCTCACGCGCGTGCGTCAAGGCCCACCCGGCGACTCATCCGGCGCCGCCTCTGCCGCCGCCGCGAGGCGCGCATCAAAGTCCGCGGCGATCCCGTCCCTCTGGGCAGCCTCCGCCTCCTCGCCGAAGCCCTCGGCGCTGCTATACTCGACGGGCGCGTCCGCCGCGCGCCGCAAGCGCGGCCGCAACCGCTTGGCGGACGCGAGCTTGCGCCGCAGCGCGCCCGCCGGCCTCGACGCGAGCGCGGCGGCCCACGCACGGCGGGCGGCGTTGCGCTGCTCCGTCCTGCGGTTGCGCCGCCGCACCACGGCAGAGCGCACGAGCGGCACGCCGACGAAGCCGAGCGCGTAGGCGAGCAGCGGCGGGTAGAGCGCGCCGAGGGCGCCAGCCGCGGGCAGCGCCGAGGCGCGCGCGGAGCGGAGCAGGAGGCCGAGGTAGCCGACGGCGACGAGGTTCGCGGCGCCGAGCGCGCCCGCCGCGACGAGCTGGCCGGGCGGCGCGGTGGAGAAGCGCTGCGGCAGCTCGACCAGCGCCGCGACGGAGCCGCCGACCAGCTCGGCCGGCACGGGCCGCAGCTCGGAGCGCAGAAAGTACGCCTCGACTGGCCCGGAGGCCGTATCAACCCGCACCCGAAAGGGGAGCGAGTCGCGCTCGTCGCCTAGGGAGGGCTCCGAGCCCGGGTCCGAGGAGGCGCCTCGCGGGAGGGGAGGGGCGAGCAGCGCGCTCGTCTCGCCCGCCACGACGCCCGAGCTCCCGACCAGCGATCGAGGCAGCACGAGCGAGTCTTCGAAGCTCTGCCGCCGAGCCTCGGCAGAGAAGAGGTAGCTCCGGCCGAGCCGCCGCCGCGCATCGATGTCGAGCGCGGACACGAGGACGGGCTCGCCTGCCGCCGGCCGCCACGCCTGCGGCTGATCGCTCCACCGGAGCGCGTCGTACACCGCGGCGGAGGAGGCGGAGGCGGCGCCGCTCCTCACCATCGCCCCGCCCGCTGCGGGCAGCGTGCGGGGCGGCGCCTCCTCGCCGGCGGACGCCATCAGCTCGGAGAAGACGTAGACGATGTCTCCCTCCTCGGTGACGGTCGGCTCGCCCCCGAGCGCCACCAGCGCGTCCGTCACCCATGGCTCGCGCACGAGCGTCGCGTCGGCGCCGTCGGCCTACGGTGCTCGCGCGCGCGGGGGCTTGAAGAAGGCTTTGCGGAGCGCGCACACGCGCGTCACCCCGGCCGCCGCCGACCTCGCTCTCGTCGGGCGGGAGCTCGGCCGGCGCGAGCAGCGGCGCGAGTTGCTCCGCCTGAGCACACGCCGCATGCTGTGAGCGCCGCCTCCGTGACGCGCAGGTGGCGGCGCGGGCTGCTCGGCTCCGTCACTGCGCCGCCCTCGGCGCGGATGAGCGCGGCGGCGGCGGCGAGGGAGCGGCGGCGGAAGTCGGCGTTCGGGTCTCCGTCTCCGAAGAGGAGCGAGAAGCACGACTGCAGGAAGCCGAGCTCTCCCTCGGGCGTCGGGCGGTACCTGCGGCAGCCGGGAACGCAGTCGGGGCGGCCGAGTTGGAAGAGAGCCCCTCTCAGGTCGCGGCGCGGCGCTCTCGCGGGGTCGGGCGCGCCTCGAGTAGTAGAAGATATCGAGCGGGTGCGGCCCCCACATGTTGTACGGCAGCATCGTGAGCGAGGACCCGCCGCGTCCCGAGTCGGAGTCGGACTTGCTCGAGCTGGCCATCAGCGCCGCGATCGCAGTGACGGCGATCGTGAGCGATGAGAGCAGCGCGACGCCGAAGCTGGCACGGAGCAGCCAAAAGAGAGGCACCGAAGCGGTGTCCCACGCCTCGCCCGCCCGAGCGCGCAGCGACGCGCGCCGCAGCCGCCGCTTGACGTCTTCGCCAAAGACAAAGAAGAGCTCGCCGTCCGACGCCACCTGCAGGTCGGCCCCGACCAGCCGCGCGAGGACGAGCAGCGCCCGCCGCGTCTCTTGCAGGTCCAAGCCGGCGGCGGCAGCGATGTCTGCAGCGCTGACGCGGCCGCCAGCCCTCCGCTCGACCGCCGCGAGCAGAGGCTTTGGCGGCAGTTCCGATCGCCGCTCGTCCAGCGACATCGCAGGCCGCGCCGCTCGGCGCAGCAGCACCGCGTGCACAGGCGCCCGGCTGGGCAGAGGAAGGAGGGCCAGAGTGGGTATCGCCACGGTGAGGAGCATCATGGGCCGCAGCGGCAAGCGGGGAGCGGCAATTTGTGCGCTTTCTTTTCCTGTAAGGTGCGATAGTGTCCAAGCCTGACTGTTCTTCACCTTCCTACCACGTACCTACCTACCTACCCGTGTGGTGCCAGTGGCGCCAGTCCCGTGCCTTGCTAGGAGAGGAGTTTTGTTGTAAAATCCTTTTCCCCCTGCTGCGCGGCTCCATCAAGTGTCAAGTCTATCAGTATCACCTCCTCCGGCGCGCGACCGCGCTCCGCGCACCGCGGCGCCGCCGTCCCGCGCCGAGCGGGGACAGAACGCGCCGCCGCTGACGGTTGTTTACATAGCACATACACACACTGTTGAGTCGTGAGAGCACTTTGTCTTAAGCCCTTTCGCCTGACATCTGGGTCATCTCCGCGACCCTCGGACGCGTTCGAGGCCAACGGCCAGCGCCCCTCCGCTTCACAGCTCTGATAGTTCGTGGTGGGCTCGCTCCCCGTTCCCCGAGGGCTCGAGCGGGGTGGAGTCCTCTGCAGTCCGGAGGGTCGAGGCTCGGCTCGCCTTGCGCTTGGCTTTGACCAGCGCCCCCTTGCTCGGAGTCATTCCTCCCGCGGACGGAGACTGCTCCTCGTGTCTCGCCCGAGCAGCCTGCGGTGGCGCCGAGCGGGGAGTCAGGCGAGGGTGATGACGAGGCCCCAGGCCGTGTGCCGGTTACACCTCCACCGCCGAGTCAGCTCGCGCGAATGCGGTGCCCTGCTCGCCCCGCTTGGACCAGCGCCCCAGCGCCGCAACAGAGCTCGTGACGAGCGTGGAGAGCAATGACCCTCCACCGAGATAGGGCCCGCCGTGCTTCGCCCCTCCGCCCGCGCGGCTGGGCCGGCGCGAGAGGACGAGCAGCGCGACCAGCGAGGCCCCGATGAGGAGAAGGGTGCCCGTGATGAGCGGGGCCCACACGTTGTGCCACATCGCCTGTGGGCACGGGCGGGAGGTTGGCTAGGCTCCGCTTGGCTGGAGAGGGCAGGGCGAGGGGTGAGAGATCTCGGCGCCCTAGCCCTAGTGTTCGGTAGCTCGTCACCTCGGCTTTCTCGGCCGCCTTCAGCTCTATCGACGCGACAAAGCGTACCTCCTCGTTCGTGGGAGCGGTGTATTTGTGCTTCCTCGCGAGCGCCGCGACTACCCTGGCGCGGACTGCCTCGGGCAGCGACCTGAGCACAGCCGCCTGCACTTCATTTGGCGGTGGCGAGGGAGGTGAGGGCGGCGGCGGCGGAGAGGGTGGCGCTGGCGGACGCGGTGGCGGCGGGGACGGGGCGGGTGGCGAGGGTGGCGGTGGTGGCGGCGGCGTCGGCGGCGGCGGCAACGGCGGAGGAGACGGCGGCGGGCTCGGCGGCAACGGTGGCGGCGGCGGCGGGTTCGGGTAGGCCTTGCCAACGTCGCAGCGGACGCGGCGATGGGCCCAGCCCGAGACGTAGTGGTTGCAGGGTCCTGTTTTCCCTCCTTCGCACGCCATGCTGCCGCACTGGTTGCCCTCGTCGCCGACCAGGTAGACTGCCCCATCCGGGCAGGTGCACTCTCCTCCCCAGGTGCCCACACCGGGCGCGTTGTTGATGACCTCATTGCGGCTCCCAGACTTGTGGGTCTGGCCTGGCCGCATCTTGTAGGCGTCGGTCTCGCAGATCACCTTGCGGAACGCCCCCTCATTCTCGCCGCCGGGGCACTCGCCAGAGATGCCGCCCTCGCACGCGGTGCTCCCGCACGCGTTCCCCCGGTCGCCAACCATGTAGACCCTTCCATCTGGACACGTGCACTTGCCGCCCCACACCCCGACCCGGAGCCCGTAGTAGAAGTTGATCACGTTCCACGGCTTCGGACCTTTGTTCTGCGGCCACTCCTGCGCGTACAGCACCTGGTTTTCGCCCGGCCGGCGCGGGATCGGTTCGGGGCACTCGAAGATCTTGCGCAGCACGTCGTGGCCCATGCACAACCGGTGGTACGGCCGGATCTCGCCCTCGCCTGGCTTTTGGCTTACGCAGTTGTCGCCATCGTGCGGCCCGCAGGTCTTGAGGATCTCCGTGCCAAACCACTCACCGGTGCAGATCCGGTGGTCCCAGTCGCCGACAATCGACCGGCATGGAAAGTGCATGCGGAAAGCCTCAGGGCAGGTGCCCATAGCGGCGGTGAAGCCGGTGGTCTTGCTCGCGGGGTTGCAGGCCAACTGCAGCGTCTGTCCGTACTGGTCGAACTGGTGCTCCTCCCACGCAGCCGGCTCCGAGCCGTACGGGACGACGCACTCGCCTGTCTTGACCTGGTGCAGCCGGTGCTCGGCGTCAGTGATGCCGAGCCCGGCGGCGCAGCGGTCGAACCAGCGCTTGTCGTCGCCCCACACGTTCTGGCGCTTGCAGAGGAACTCGATCACCGTGTTCTGCGGTATGTGATTGATCCGGTCGAGAATCGCGAGCGAGAGCGTATTGGCCGCCGCGTGGTACACTCCCGTGGCGCAAAGCCAGCGCCACATCAATAGGTTGAGCCCGTCGAGCCCGCCCATCTTTGGGTCCCTGTCCCACGAGTACTTTGGGTCGGGCGCGTGCTCGTGCAGCGACGGGTCCATGCACGCAAGCACCGCCCGCCCGACGTCGAGGAAGTAGTAGAAGTAGCCGTGGCCTGCGGCGTGCGCGCAGTCGTTCATGGACTGCGGTGAGACCCACCAGGTCTGCTCGCACGTCTTGTGGGCGAGCTCAGTGGCCGCCCCGTGTGGAGGGTGCTTGATGCGCTT